GAGTGACAGCCGACAGTTTTAAATATATATTTGATTTATTAACCAATCTCTCATTCCTCACAACCAATCACTCACTCCTAACAACCCATCCCTCACTCCTCACAACCAATCACTCACTCCTCACAACCAATCCTCCACTCCTCACAATCAATCACCCACTCCTCACAACCAATCTACCCCTCCTCTCACCCAATCACCCACTCCTCACAACCAATCACACACTCCCTCACAATCCATCACCCACTCCTCACAACCAATCGCCCACTTCTCACAACCAATCACCCACTCCTCACAGACACTCACCCACTCCTCATAGCCAATCAACCACTCCTCACAACCAATCACCCACTCCTCACTATCAATCACCCACTCCTCACAGACACTCACTCACTCCTCACAACAAATCCTCCCCTCCTCACAATCTATCACTCACAACCAATCACCCACTCCACACAGACACTCACCCACTCCTCACAATGAATCATCCAATCCTCACAGACAACCACCCATTCCTGACAACCAATAACACACTCCTAACAGAACCTCAAACACTCCTCACAATCAATCACCCACTCCTCACAGACACTCACCCACTCCTCACAACCAATCACCCACTCCTCACAACCAATCACCCACTCCTCACAATCAATCACCCACTCCTCACTGACAACCATCCACTCCTCACAACCAATCACCCACTCCTCACAATTAATCACCCACTCCTCACAGACACTCACCCACTCCACACAAAAAATCAACCACTCCTCACAGAATCTCACCCACTCCTCACAATCAATCACCCACTCCTCACAGCCAATCACCCACTCCTCACAGCCAATAACCCACTCCTCACAGCCAATCACCCACTTCTAACAACCAATCTCTCACTCCTCTTAACCAATCACCCACTCCTCACAGACAATAACCCACTCCTCACAGCCAGCACCCACTCCTCACAGCCAACCACCCACTCCTCACAGTCAATCACCCACTCTTTACAGTCAACCATCCACTCCTCACAGCCAATCACCCACTCCTCACAGCCAATAACCCACTCCTCACAGCCAATCACTCACTTCTAACAACCAATCTCTCACTCCTCTTAACCAATCACCCACTCCTCACAGTCAATCACCCACTCCTCACAGTCAATCACCCACTCGTCACAGTCAATCATCCACTCCTCACAGACAAACACCCACTCCTCATAGTCAATCACCCACTCGTCACAGTCAATCATCCACTCCTCACAGCCAATCACCCACTCCTCACAGTCAATCACCCACTCCTCATAGTCAATCACCCACTCCTCACAGCCAATCACCCACTCCTCACAACCAATCACCCACTCCTCACAGGGGTACATAACAAGCGCCATTGCTACGTCTTTCTTGATAAGGACTGACTGGGAATAGCTCGGGACGTTGAGGGAAAGTCCCTTTATGATAACAAGTTTTTAAACGACAACAAAATGTAGGTCATGTAATGTGACTGTACCAACACTGGCATATTCAAGGCCACGTAGTGTGACTGTACCAATAATGGCTAATCAAGACCAAGTACTGTGACTCTACCAATAATGGTTAATCAAGACCAAGTAGTGTGACTCTACCAATAATGGTTAATCAAGACCAAGTAGTGTGACTCTACCATTAATGGTTAATAAAGACCAAGTAGTGTGACTCTGCCAATAATGGCTAATCAAGACCAAGTAGTGTGACTGTTCCAATAATGGCTAATCAAGACCAAGTACTGTGACTCTACCAATAATGGTTAATAAAGACCAAGTAGTGTGACTCTGCCAATAATGGCTAATCAAGACCAAGTAGTGTGACTGTACCAATAATGACTAATCAAGACCAAGTATTGTGACTCTACCAATAATGGTTAATCAAGACCAAGTAGTGTGACTCTGCCAAAAATGGCTAATCAAGACCAAGTAGAGTGACTCTACCAATAATGGCTAATCAAGACCAAGTAGAGTGAGTCTACCAATAATAGTTAATCCAGACCAAGTAGTGTGACTCTACCAATAATGGTTAATCCAGGCCAAGTAGTGTGACTCTACCAATAATATTTAATCCAGACCAAGTAGTGTGACTCTACCAATAATGGCTAATCAAGACTAAGTAGTGTGACTCTACAAATAATGGTTAATCCAGACCAAGTAGTGTTACTCTACCAATAATAGCTAATCAAGACTAAGTAGTGTAACTCTACCAATAATGGTTAATCCAGACCATTAGTGTGACTCTACCAACGCTTCTTTATAACAGTTTTTTTTTTAAAGTGACTGTACCACTTCTGATTTAATAAAGGGACCACGGTCATATGGACCACAACAAAACATCCTTGTCCAGCTCATATTGCACATAGATATGTCAAATGTCCGATGCAGAACAATATGTGAGGTTTTGTAACACTACGTGGCATTAGTTTATTTAATTCGTTCAAACAATATCACAATGATTACCTTCAAATCGTTCATTCATTTTTGGAAGCATCCATCTTTTTATTAAATTATTCTAATATCTGCTGTATATTATCTGCAATTTAAACACCCATGACATAGACGCATAGGCTAATGTAAAGAAACCTGACATAGACGCATAGGCTAATGTAAACAAACCTGACATAGACGCATAGGCTAATGTAAACAAACCTGACATAGACGTATAGGCTAATGTAAACAAACCAGATATAGACATATAGGCTAATGTAAACAAACCTGACATAGACGCATAGACTAATGTAAACAAACCTGACATAGACGTATAGGCTAATGTAAACAAACCTGACATAGACGCATAGACTAATGTAAACAAACCTGACATAGACGCATAGACTAATGTAAACAAACCTGACATAGACGTATAGGCTAATGTAAACAAACCTGACATAGACGCATAGGCTAATGTAAACAAACCTGACATAGACGTATAGGCTAATGTAAACAAACCTGACATAGACGTATAGGCTAATGTAAACAAACCTGACATAGACGTATAGGCTAATGTAAACAAACCTGACATAGACGCATAGGCTAATGTAAACAAACCTGACATAGACGTATAGGCTAATGTAAACAAACCTGACATAGACGCATAGGCTAATGTAAACAAACCTGACATAGACGCATAGGCTAATGTAAACAAACCTGACATAGACGCATAGGCTAATGTAAACAAACCTGACATAGACGCATAGGCTAATGTAAACAAACCTGACATAGACGCATAGGCTAATGTAAACAAACCTGACATAGACGCATAGGCTAATGTAAACAAACCTGACATAGACGCATAGGCTAATGTAAACAAACCTGACATAGACGCATAGGCTAATGTAAACAAACCTGACATAGACGCATAGGCTAATGTAAACAAACCTGACATAGACGCATAGGCTAATGTAAACAAACCTGACATAGACGCATAGGCTAATGTAAACAAACCTGACATAGACGCATAGGCTAATGTAAACAAACCTGACATAGACGCATAGGCTAATGTAAACAAACCTGACATAGACGCATAGGCTAATGTAAACAAACCTGACATAGACGCATAGGCTAATGTAAACAAACCTGACATAGACGCATAGGCTAATGTAAACAAACCTGACATAGACGCATAGGCTAATGTAAACAAACCTGACATAGACGCATAGGCTAATGTAAACAAACCTGACATAGACGCATAGGCTAATGTAAACAAACCTGACATAGACGCATAGGCTAATGTAAACAAACCTGACATAGACGCATAGGCTAATGTAAACAAACCTGACATAGACGCATAGGCTAATGTAAACAAACCTGACATAGACGCATAGGCTAATGTAAACAAACCTGACATAGACGCATAGGCTAATGTAAACAAACCTGACATAGACGTATAGGCTAATGTAAACAAACCTGACATAGACGCATAGGCTAATGTAAACAAACCTGACATAGACTGACTTCTATGTTAACGTAAGCACCCCTGACATACACTTATGTGACCGCGTTCAAAACTTAAATCATATGTTTGTGCGTCTGTTAAATCATATGTATATCTGTTAACTTCCAAGAGGCAGTATCATACAGTATTGTTACTTAGGTTGTCAGGGCCTGTTCAGAATTAATGGCCACAAATGTTGTGCGTTTCTTATTAGTTGGCACTTGTGTTGGCAGTGAGTGTCCTTTAGTCACTGTCTCTTATATTGTCATTAAGTGGTATGCTACAAGTGACATACGTTGTCGGTGTCTTGATACATGCAACTGTCACATTCTTTGTCAACATGCGATAACATGTCCTTTATGTTATCATGATACACATGTCCTTTATGTTGTCATGATACAAATGTCTTCTTTGTTGTCATTGTCATGGCACAAAAGTCGTTTCTGTTGTTATTGTCATGATACAAATGTCCTTTATGTTGTCATGATACAAATGTCCTTTATGTTGTCATGATACAAATGTCCTTCATGTTACAAATTTCGTCTATGTTGTCATTGTCATGATACAAATGTCGTCATTGTCATTATATATATATACATCCTTAGTGTTGTCATTGCCATGATACAAATGTATTTTGTGTTGTCATTGCCATGATACACAAGGCGTCTATATTGTCATTGTCATGATAAAATACCATATTGCTTTTCAGTGGTGAACTTTTTATAATAGTTTGACAATTTTATTTGAATAAAAGCTTCTGTTGACAAGTGTTGAACCGATACAATACATTGAGTTATCAATTTTATACATTAAGTGTAGCTTGTAGTTTTACTTGTTTAGAAATCACTTTCTTCCCAATCCCCTACTCTCTCACAACCCACCCCCCCCCCCCCCCCCCCCCCCCAACACCAATGCGTGAAATGGAATTCGTATCGTAACGCCAATCCATGTCATGGGGAATCCGGCTAACTAAGATGCTAAAATTAGACATGGATTTGTATCACAAGGACCAATGAAAAGGGTTATATTTTTAGTTCTGTTTACGGGAATGTTTGTGTATATAAGGCACCCTAGTCGCTGAGTCTTGACTGTGTCCAAGTCCAAGGTAAAAACGTGTTGTAACACTTTCTTTCTAATTTTTTTGTAAAAAGGTATTTGAAAAAAAATCAATAATATTAAAGTTTTGAAATATTTTTCATCAATAGCATGCCATTTAGGCCTATCGTTGAAATCTATGTAGCCTACTTAGATTCTCAGTGCCCGATTAAAAATAATAGCTGGGTCTGTATACTATACATAATTTATGGAATAAGCATAATATTATTAACTAGAGTAAATGACCCGATGTTATCGCAATAATAATTGTAGCTCCTTTTCGATAATTTCTAACTGCTATTGCAAAAACTCATCCCAATTCATAACTTTTAAAATGTAATGTGATTTACGTTTCTAACATCATTAATTTTTTAAAAGTTTTTATCTGCTGTATATGATACGCGTACCCTACACCCTTTCACGCCCCTAAGCTACTTTCCCCCCTCTAAACATGACCTTAAATTACCCAGTATAGATTATCACAAACAAATTTTATCACTTTTGTCACTAAAGAAGTTAATTGATGAACAATTATTACGCTAGTAAAAAGCTTTAGATTTACCCCCTTTTTCGTGCCCTCATTTTGTTAACAAATACAATACGTGGATGACAATATATTTAAATCCTATTGTATTACATATGTGAAAAAAGAGATGTCCTCCGAAATCTATTGAAACAAAAACGTTTTAAATTGTTTCTTAAATGATTTTTTAACATTTTCAATTCTCCTCAAAGATTGAGGCAAACTGTTCCATAATTTTGGCGCTATCACCACAAAAGAGCGCACTCCGTAAGACTTTTGTCTGTGTTCATCCACTCTAGGAACATTCGGTAAGTACTGTGTTGAAGACCGCAGGCTCTTCAGAAGTACATGTCTATAAAAAAGTTTCCATGAGATATTCCGGTGCTGAGCCATCTATGCAGCTGTACGCCAAGGACAAAATTTTGTAGTTAATGTAGTCCCTTCCTTAGCCAAACTAAATTAATTTGCACTTCATATGGTTCGTTCGTTTTTGTTTTAGTTATAAGTTGATTGGTCAATGCTATTTGGCTATGGAGTTGCGCTGCACAGTTTGACTTAAACCGCATTTTCTTATTATAATTATATTTAAAGGTTAGTTTTTATTACGTTATAATTTTAATAAATGTATATTTTTTAAATCAAAAAAGTAAAAACTTTTTAATGTTAATATACACAGCAGAAATGTGTGTGTCTTTTATTAACAATTTATAAAGCAATCGATTGTATTTATTAAGTTTACTTTTAAGAAGGGAAAATACATGATCAGTTTTGTCACTCGCGGTTTTTTAAATTTCAAGAAACCCGAGAGTTTTGGAGAAATAAGTTATCCGCTCTATGACGTCATTTGCATAATTATTTAGAACAAATTTATTTACAAATTTATTTCGCAAAGTTAACGCATTAAAAGATACGCACTAAAAAGGACTGATGTTTGGGTTTTCCCGATAAATGTGATTACGGTGTATTTCTTTGATCTTGATTTTTTATTATTTCATAACTTTATAACACATATAAAATGCTTAAAATAGTTCTTTAGTTGATATTTTAAATGTATTTGTAATTGATAATAATAATACTTAAACGTTTACTAAAATAAAAGCGGATTTAAAATATTTTTTGCGCATTTAAATTTATTCGATTTCCGTAAAATAATAGAAAATACCTATGATTGTGTTTAGGAATCCGCACGTACTTAAATCATATCTCCCTTTAAGCCAGTGGTTCTCAACCTTTCTAGTGCCGCGACCCCTTAATACTGTTTCTCGTGTCGTGGCAACCCCCAAGCCGCACAATTATTTTCGTTGCTACTTCATAGCTGTAAGGATACATGTTTTTAGATGTTCTTAGGTGACCCCTGGAAAAGGGTCCCGCGACCCCCAAAGGGGTCGCGTCCCACAGGTTGAGAACCGCTGCTTTAAGCGTTATGTGACTCTAGCTCATTCTTATATATATATGTTAAGAAAGGGGATATCTATCTATATTATTCATATCATCTATCTATCTATCTATCCATCCATCCATCCATCCATCCATCCATCCATCCATCCATCCATCCATCTATCTATCTATCTATCTATCTATCTATCTATCTATCTATCTATCTATCTATCTATCTATCTATCTATCTATCTATCTATCTATCTATCTATCTATCTATCTATCTATCTATCTATCTATCTATCTATCTATCTATCTGTCTGTCTGTCTGTCTGTCTGTCTGTCTGTCTGTCTGTCTGTCTGTCTGTCTGTCTATCTATCTATCTATCTATCTATCTATCTATCTATCTATCTATCTATCTATCTATCTCTCTCTCTCTCTCTATCTATCTATCTATCTATCTGTATGTCTGTCTGTCTGTCTGTCTGTCTGTCTGCCTGCCTGCCTGCCTGTCTATCCGTCTATCCGTCTATCCGTCTGTCCGTCTGTCCGTCTCTCCGTCTGTCCGTCTATCTATCCGTCCGTCCGTCCGTCCATCCGTCCATCCGTCCGTCCATCCGTCCATCCATCCATCCATCCATCCATCTATCTATCTATCTAATCTATCTATCTATCTATCTAATCTGTTGCCATATTAAACGATACAATAATAGGATAAAAGCCACTAAGAATGTCAAATAAAGTTGAACATAATGAAAAGTCCCACTGGGTCGTTCACTGGGTTGTCCACTGGGTTGTCCACTGGATGATCCACTGGGTTGTCCACTGGGTCGTCTACTGGGTCGTTCACTGGATTGTCCACTGGGTCGTCCACTGGGTTTTCCACTGGGTTGTCCACTGGGTTGTCCACTGGGTTGTCCACTGGGTTGTCCACTGGGTGGTCCACTGGGTTGTCCATTGGGTTGTCCACTGGATCGTCCACTGGGTCGTCCACTGGGTTGTCCACTTGGTCGTCCATTGGATTTTCCACTGGGTTGTCCACTGGGTTGTCCACTGGGTTGTCCACTGGGTTGTCCGTTGGGTTGTCCACTGGGTCGTCCACTGGGTCGTCCACTGGGTTGTCCACTGGGTTGTCCACTGGGTTGTCCACTGGGTTGTCCACTGGGTTGTCCACTGGGTGGTCCACTGGGTTGTCCATTGGGTTGTCCACTGGATCGTCCACTGGGTCGTCCACTGGGTTGTCCACTGGGTTGTCCACTGGGTCGTCCACTGGGTCGTCCACTGGGTTGTCCACTGGGTTGTCCACTGGGTTGTCCACTGGGTTGTCCACTGGGTTGTCCACTGGGTCGTCCACTGGGTTGTCCACTGGGTTGTCCACTTGGTCGTCCACTGGGTTGTCCACTGGGTTGTCCACTTGGTCGTCCACTGGGTTGTCCACTGGGTTGTCCACTGGGTTGTCCTCTTTGCTAGTTTTCTCACAATTTCGTGACACAAAATGATGGCATAACTCAGAAGATCATTGGTTTAATCCTCATGCTAGAAAGTGAACACACACAAAATGATCTCGATTTTCATTGGCTTGGGGCCCGTCATATTTATTGTTGCTTCTACTTAAATCCGACTCTGAGCCTACTAAATAAAAATAATAATTTCTAAAAGTAAAAATGAATCCCAGCGTCTGTCTCTAATCGTACACGCAGTGTGGCGTAATTTGATTTAAATTCTTAACCCACTACGTTATCATCAGCATTTAGATGCATGGACAAATAATTATTTTAATTTTAAAATGCATCGAAAATTTCAAAGTAACTAAAGATAGTATTGATTTATTGCAATACATTTATGTAAAAGAAATAGTATTGTTATTTTTTTATCAGTAAAAAAAATCGATATTTAAAAAAATATATATTTATTTATAATAAGATTTTATTTATTATTTGTGACTGTTATTATAATTTATTACTTTAAATTTATACTATATATGGCATCCTTCCGTCTTCATCAAATATGGCTCACTGGGCCAATCCTTGGATGGCAGCCTCGGCTGCATTGCTCGCAGGAGAATTTAGACTCCTGGTTAGAGCTGGCCTACCGCATTGTTCTTTTTTGTTGTTGTTGCAAGGGCTTCGTTTCAGATACCGCGCCATTGAAGGCTACTGTATTGTGCATTTTTGTGTAAAAGACTGGAGGATTTTGATTAGTCTTTGGGCAGAACCTAGTCTATTCTAATATAATTTTATGATGTGGGCATCCCTCGTGACCTGTGGAATGTGACCTGCTTCCCAATACAGGCAGAAGGTCATGTAAGGGCTAAAGTAGTATAGGTTTTACATTTTTGAGGACTTTCGGAGGAATGCCGTCAATCCCTCGAGCCTTCAAATCAACAATGCAATCAATTGCCTTTTCGAGCTCCTGCAAAATTGACTCTTCATCTAATTCTCCCATTATTGACAAGACGGGAATATTTTTCAGAGCGGTCTAATTGACTATATTCATTGTTGCGTAGACCGTATAGTTCAATGGACTGTTCCTGGTTGATAGATGTTAGTCTGCTGCTCATCTGGGGAAATATGGGACATTATAAAAAAAAAAGTGTTTTTTTTTTAAATATTGTTCGCGCCTTTGGTCCTCTGGCGATTTTTAAAAAGATATGTCATTTTAGAAATTTAAGTTTTAAAAAAAGTAGATTTTTGATCCAACAATAAATGTGATTCTGCTAAGAAAATAGTTATAGATGTAGCCAGTGCAATCAATATATTTAGCGTAGTCAGTGTGAGAGAGTAGGGATCTCGGGCTCTCCCCTGAGAGTGAGAGAGACAATTAATCCAATGGTAGCGCCTTTTCTAGAATATAACTTTTTTCTGTTGGTCGAATTTTAAAATGTTTTTGTTTTTTTAATCTCTCGTTTGATTATGACCAAAAAAAAAAAAAAAAAAAAAAAAAAAAAAAAAAAAACAACAACAAAAAAAAACACGCTTTTCAGAGTTGTTATATCTGGAGAGACCAAAAAAATAACAAACAAAAAAACGAACGCCATTTAAGATAACGCTAAGTAACATTATTTAGCGAAATCCAACCAATGGGTGTGCAATGATCCTCTTGTCCCTTCATTGTGCGTGGCGCCGATCACAAGGAATGGCTTAGTTCGATTATGAAAACAAGGCGCTCTATTTGGAAGGTTGCCATCGCCTGGTCAGTCATCGGACTCATCGTCTAATGCAGGCTTGCACAACTCAAAATGTAAGGCGGGCCGTAATACTTTATGAAAAAACTTGTGTGGGCCAAAATACTTTATGAAAAGCTTGCGCGGGCCGGAAGATGATAGGACAGGGTGGGGGGGGGGGGGTTAGGCTGTTTAAGAAAATAATAATAATAACTGTTTAAGAAAATAATAATAATAAAGAATGTTTCGTTACTTCGCGGGCCGCCAAGTGGGTGCTGGCGGGCCACATGCGGCCCGCATATTGTGCAGGCCTGGTCTAATGGAGAGTAAAACAAGCCCTGCCTTTTGATGCGAAAATCACGCCGAGACCAACGATGCAGTCACGATGCGCATCTTGTATCCGGACCGTGCAAGGGGTGCACAATGACGGGAAACCTTTCAATAATTTTAATTCTTTTATGCAATGATGTAAACAAAAGCAAACTATTAATGAATTGTTTGTAACAATTTATTGAAGTCTATTTATAGTCTAACATAAAAATAAAAAATAAAAAGTAAAAACACAAATACCATTTGCTAACAACTAAAATATAAAAAAGAGTTGTTTAGCCTACTCCCAATCGCATCTAGGTCAAAGAAACCTTTATTTCCACCCTCTTTATCTTTTTTATACGCTAGATTAAATTTGGAAAGATAAAAAACGAAATTAATTTGTTGTGCCAAAATACGTCTGCTCTGAATTTTAAGTTATCAAACATTTTCAGGGAGAGTTTGGGCCTCCTCACCCCCCCCCCACCCCAGGGGCCAACATTTTTTTTGGCTTGGCTGCATTTTGTTCAGATGTCTGCTCCCCATCCCCATCAAAGTGAGTGTCCCGGCACCAAGTTTCCAATTGAATATCTCCAAGTCTTTTAACTACAAAAATAAACCAAATATTGTATAATTGTTTCCCTACCAGAAATTTGTTTGAGAGAAATGCTGTCTCGTAAACGTAGTTCTAACAGAAGTTTGATCAAAATAAAGTGGGGGGAAAAATATATATATATAATTAAAAAGCTTTCATTTTTCACATTTCTAACACCTCTTTGAAAACATTTTTCTTAAAAACAAAATCTGTTTGAACAAATTTCTTTTGAACAAATTTCCGTATAAAAGTAGGCCTAATAGTTCAATAACAGTTATCGGCCAATATCAATCTTGGGCTTGCGTTTGATTTGATAAGGCATAAATAATAATGAGAGGGAAGTTGACATTCAGTTTGAAATGGTTAATACTGTTAATACCGGTAGCTCTGATTCTTTCAACTTTTAAAATAATTTTTTCCCAAACATTAATGCATTGTTGATTCAAGTCTTAGAGATCTCAGCTAGCTCAACTGCAAATTTACTATGATGTAAATTTAATGATTTTTTTATTAATTTTTTTTTTTTTGAGTTACCATTATAATTCTTAGTATCTAAATAAACTGAGAAACGAAGTTACCTGGAAAACATAAATAAATAAAGATGGTGGGGGTGTGGAAGGGAGGAATTACATTTATACTTTTAATTACTGTAGTTATGGAAATTTTTTATAAATAAAACCCACTTCATGTACAACTTTGCAACATTTTTAACAGGTCTAAATCACTATTGCTATAACTTAATGATTGAAGAAGAAGGGAGACAATTACCCATTTTATGATAAGAAAATTTGATTGATTTAATTGATATTAATGAGCTTTTAACACTAATTTATGTGTGCTATTAAGTAAGTATAATCTTTGCAATGATTTGAACTCAGGTCATCTTCCTCTTGTGAATATTCTTCTTTTTTTTTCACCCAGTTATAAAATGGAGTTTGGAAGTAAATTTGTTTACCTGGGAAATGATAACGACGATGAGGAAGAGATACAAGTGACAGAAAATGATGTTGTTGTTTCTGAGAATGATTTGGAGGGAGATGATGGCCAGGTAGTACAGATTGAAAATAGTTTAAATAATTTTTTTTTTTTTTACCTATTATAGTTAAAGAGTCCAATTAGGCCTCTTACAAAAATTATAATTATATCAACCAAATCTAATTCTGATCCAAAAATAGGAATCCTTTCATAGAATTGGAAAGTATCAATATAAGCCTATATATAATTCGCCAGGAAAGGTCAAACACCAACACGGTTCAAGCCCACGCAGGCTATTTATAGATACGCCAGCGTGTGGTTCAATAATGAGTTCACTAGCGCAAAATATAATTCCCGATAACTACTCTATATGATGTATATTTTTTTAAATAACGCAATTGCGTTTGGTGCGTAATATTTTCTTTTCGGAAATGAAATCGCCTCAATTTAAGTATTGTGTAAAAATATTCGGTTTAAAAGTTATGGTTGGGATATGAGAATATTAACATAGTTTGGACAACTGTGTCTTTCACGAAGTCTTCACTCCTCTATGAGCAATTCTGTGACGTATGCTACGCCGCGGGTCGTCTAGTCTTGTTAATTATAAGGATGCGGCTATTCGGACCCGGGTCCGAGACGTTAGAGTTGGGTTTATTAAAAAAATATGTTAAAATTATCGTAAGTGTTTGTAAGACAAACTTTGGTATCAAATGAAAGATAATTGAATGTACTATATGTTTGTAAACTTACTTATTAAGTTTAACTAAAATAAAATACCACAAATGACATCCAAATAGCATTTAGTCAAAATGGAACCGGAAACGCATCGCCGCTATTCGGACTCGGGTCCCTTTAGACTCAATGCTATTCGGATGTCATTTGTGGTAGTTTATTTTAGTCAAACTGAAGAATTAAGTTTACAAACATATAGTCCATTCAATTATCTTTCATTTGATACCAAAGTTCGTCTTACAATCTAACCATATTTTAATCCCAATCTCTCTTCTCGGACCCGGGACCGAATAGCCACTTCGTAATTATTATAATACGGGAAAGACAGCAATCAACCTAAAAGGAAATGAGGAACACAAGGTTAAAAATAACTTGAAGAAAAGACAACTCTTAAAGTTCAACAAAAAGCCCTCTTTGGCAAACAAATTAAACAAACAATAATGAAAGGAAAGTGAGCTCATTTTTTACGCTTGAAGTTGAAGTCCAGGAGGAAACTGACAACCCAAAGAAGTATGTTTCATTTTGTTCAAACAGTGATTTTACTTTTGTTGAAAGAGTGAGTTTAATTAAATTTTCATTTGTCACTCTCACACACGATATTAGAGAAATAAATTTAACGAAGTGGTTATGCGCAGCAGACTGCGTCTTTTACTTTTGCAACAAAATCTAATATTATTTATTAGATATAGAATTAGAAAGGATGTCTAAGTCTAAGTAAGCTAGTCTATATATTGGAGTGGTAAATAGTCATGTTGGTAAGTCGTGGCATCTCGAATGATTATCAGCCAAAAGTTTAAAAAAATTTTATGAGCTACATGAATTTGTAACTATTTATGATTATGAAGGCGACGGAAGGAAACTAAAATATTTTATATCCAGGGTCGTTTGAGTGTTTTAGGGCACGAAAGGAAGCATTTATTGTTTTATTTTATTTAAAAATTCTAATATAAATTACTGTATTTTTTTATAAAGCCTCATTTAATTTTTAGACCTGTTTTCTGGATATTTTGGATACTGCTGGTCAAGAAGAATATTCACAACTAAGGGATGTGTACGTACGCACTGGGGATGGACTCGTCATCATATACAGCATCACTGATGTATCAAGTTTTACAGAGTCTGAATTCATTTTCAAATGGGTGACACGAATAAAAGCACAAGAAGGAACACCAGTAAATGCTGTGAGTTTTCTTGAAAATTGGGTAACAAAGTTTGGAGAAATCTATTAAATACAATTATTTATGGCAGAAAAAGTGTGGGACTTCAAATACTTGCCTTCTAATCAACTTTTATAAATTAAAAAGATATCAGCTAAATTCAGTGGTGCAATTTAAAAATCATTTATTGTTGTTATACATTAGTCTACTTGTGGTTATTTTATTAGCTACATCATAAATAGATGGAGAATTTTGTTTTTTTTCTTGTGTATTTTTAAAAAGTTATTTGAGACAGTGGGATAACTTCATTTTAGTCTTGTTTAAATGGTTGCAGCAGCTTCATAAAATTATATTATATTATCCTCTGACTTGATTTTAAATGATTTGTAACATTGCAAAAATTTTATAGTTTCTAATTTGAACATAATTCAACATCTTTTTCTCTCATAAATTAATCTAGATTTTGGTGGCCAACAAGCAGGATCTAGTTTCTGAAGCAAAGGTCTCATCTCAAGATGGCCGCTCTCTTGCTTCAAAATTGGGCATTAAATTTTTTGAAACTTCAGCCAAAACAGGGGATGGTGTAAATGAGGCTATAGTTAGTCTTATAAAAGTTATTCCTCGGACTAGCAAAAACTATAAGGTTTGCTTCAGCATATTTTAGCAATAATAAACCAAACAGGTTCAGTATATAAAATATTGATCCAAAAGTTAAAATCCCCATTTAAATCATGGAATTATGTCATAGCAGGTTTTATTAAATATCAATGTCATTCTCAAACTATCCATGTTTATATCAAGCTATCAAAGTTATTCTCAAATGCTCAATGTTATTTTCTTTAGACATCAACATATACTAAAACTCTAAATGTTATTTTCTTAAACAATCAAATGTTATTCTCAAAGTTATTGTCTTAAACCATCAATTATTCTCAAACTACCAATGTTATGTTCTTAAAGTGTCTATATTATACTCAAAATAGCAATTTATTCTCAAACTCTTAATGCTGTTTTCTTAAACCATCAATGTTTAACACTCAAGTGTACTCAGTGAATGTCAAACGTCCAGCAAAAAGTTCCTTTCTTGAATTTAATATTAATAATTAATGGAGATAATATTATTGAATGGAAGATATTTTTTACATATGAAATAATGCATTAATGTTATTGAAAAATAAAATGTTCGATAAATAATTATCTCTCCAGATTGTGATGCTTGGCAGTGGTGCAGTTGGAAAATCTAGCGTCACAAATCGTTTTGTCAGCGACGTTTTTGTCAATGATTATGATCCCACTATTGAAGATTCTTATCGTAAAATGATCACTGTGAGTGGCTTACCTCCCATGATCACTGCAAGTGGCTTACCTTCCAGGACTGCTGATAAGGACCAAAGAAATTTAAAGGCAAAAAAATCAAAACCATTTTTTGGTAGTTTGCATAATGTATTTTCTAGAAATCGTCAAAGTCACCAGGCTCCTGCGCCACCACCACCCCCACCCGCTGCACCTCTCCCACAACAAAAGTTAAATAAGAAGAAAGAGAGGAAAACAGATGGAAATGTATTGCTGATACCTCTCAAAAACTTGGATGAAGAACCTAAGCTGGTCACAGGGGATCCAATCAAATGCACTGGCTGTAATGTTATCCTAACTAGCACTGCAAAGCTTGTGGCCAAGGGTAACAAGAAAACATGGAACTGGTAGGTTGTTGTTTTAAAATAGTTGTTATAGTGATAATAAATTCTTTATTTCATAAATGTATTTTATTTTAATGTCATGATTATGTCTCTTTTGATAAAATTTTTATGTACAGCGCTGTGAGCCTAGCCCTAGGCTGGGGTACGGCGCTATATAAGACCCCTTATTATTATTATTATAAATATAGTCGAGTGCTTTAAATCTACTAACTAAATTTGTGGATAAAAATAGTCTTTGGAAGGAATTGCTAGCATCAGATTTTAAAAAAGCAGACATGCAAATGATAGAAACTATTTTTATAATCTTCCATTGAATCACGACTTTATTTACTGCTACAAACACTGTCAAAAAAAACTTGTTTAGACTATATAGCTACAAATTAGCATTTATAAGAAATCATTTTCAAATAATCTCAAATTTTATTTGAAATTTAGCGAATTTTGCGGCCATGCAAACTGCAACCTAGAGCTTTCTGATGATGAGCTTCCTCAAGGAGAACTTCTTGACTTTATGCTCTCCCCTTCTACCAAGCAAAAAGAAGAAACTTGTGATGGTGCAGGAGTTGCTTCTCCAAAGAAATGTTCAACGGATGGGATCATTGTATACTGTATGGACATTAGTACATCCATGGACTCTAAGTGTCAAGTACCAGAATCACAATGTAAGCAGTGTTCAAATATTACATTTGTCAAGTGCCAGAATCACAATGTAATCTAAAGCCATATTCAATTAGTCAGGTGCATTTATTTTACTTGAAAAAAACTTTATATTGATCATTGTGAAAGATAAGAAATCGCTTTCTATAACGATGGTGAATCAAGTTTAAAATAATACAGTTGTATTTTACATAATCAAAACATTCTGTAACCGAAAGTTCTCATTCTAAAGTTTGTTAATTCAATACCACCCACCCCCACCCTTTTTTCGAATCAACCCCCCCTAAAAATGTCCTAGTGTCCTCCTTTGTCCTGCTATGTCTTTCTGTGTCCTGCTATGTCCTCCTATGTCCTGCTCAATCTCATAGACCGACACCCCAGACATATTCCCTTGAAATATTTCCCCCAAAAAGTCAGCTTCACAATTAAATATGGCATAAATTTTGTATATGTAAATTTAAGTTTAAGTTTATGGTTGAAAACTGTGATCATTGTTAATTGTTTGCCATACAGAATATGTCCTTTGGCCTTTAACCCCATCAATAAAACTGTCAACATTTTATATTTTATCTATTTTTAGAGAATAAATAAGTTGTAAAACCTTTATTTAATATCAGTGGCCTGGAGAGAAGAAAGAACCCAAGGGGCAGAATCAATAACCAATGTTTCCAGACTAGCTTGCATCAAGAGGGCTATTGAAAGGTAGTTCTTTCCCTTGCTGCAACTCACTCTTCAAATGATAAAGAAATTTTTATTTTGTGAATTAGAATTAATTAGAAATAAAATGAAATTTCAATAGAGGAATAAGTAATGTAGATTTTGGGGTCATTTAAACAAATAGGGCATAGTAATTTGTCATTGTTAAATTGATAAACTTTTTGTATAACAATTTTTTGGGAAATGAATTTCTTTCAAACAAATATATAAAATTGGTTCTCATTTTATCAATTGATCTTTTAATAATACATTTAAAAATAAAAGATTCTTAAAAGCTAAAGTTATTTTTTTTAATGTCACTGTAACATAGCATGTTAATAATTTAATGTCTCTATGTAACATAACATGTTACTAATTTAATGTCTCTATGTGGCACAACATGTTACTAATATAATGTGTATGTTACATAAAGTGCTACTAATTTAATGTCTACGTTACCTAACATGTTACTAATAACATGTTACAAATTTAATGTCTCTATGTGACACAAAATGTTACCAATATAATGTCTATGTTACATAACATGTTATTAATTAAATGTCTATGTTACATAACATGTTCCTGATAGCATGTTACTAATTTAATGCCTATGTTACATAACACGTTACAGGTTGGCTGAACAACTCAAGCTAGAAGAGCCTGATAAGCGTGTCATGCTTTCTGTGTTCAGTTCAGAGTTTTATGTCAAAGGAGGGGGCAGAACTAATAACCTACCACAGTTCAGTGGACTTGAGCAAGAAACATTTGAACATCTACTTGAAATGGGCCTGAATCTCTCCAATGATTATCCTCTTTCCAAAATTACTGATTCTCATGAGTGAGTTCATTTTAATGTTCTCATCTTTTGTGGAATGCAATATTAGTTTTGGGAAATTTAATACTAGCTTCTTGGGACTGCAATATAATTTTTGAAGAATTCAATACAAGGTTCTTGGGACTACATATTAATTTCTGGGGAATTCAGTACTGGGGACTACGATGTTTAAATCACACTGTAAGTGAACTATCAAGACTTGTTTAAAATTAACATAAATATTTTAAATATAAGTTTTATAATCTTCCATTTAAACTTGGCATACAACTTTTCTAATATAAGTATAAGAAATCATCATTTATTTCTATGCCAAGCCTGGCTGGGGGGATCAGTGTTATGCCATAGGGATGATGCCAAACTAAACACATTTCATGTGATTTATCTTAATTTAAATTGTTTTTTTTTTAAATATAAGAAATGTTTGTACAGCTTAATATAGTTTAATTTGAGGCAAATAGATTAGTATCTGGCCAACACTTTGGGTGAACATAAAATGTCCAGGAAAACCACATGGCACAGCCCCAATGGGAAACACCACAACCAGATTGACTACATCATGTTGCAAACACGCTTCCGGTCTAGTATAAACATTGCCAAGACTCGCAGCTTCCCTGGAGCTGACGTCGGGAGCCACCACGACCTTGTCATGATGACCTTTAGACTTCACTTAAAGAGGTTAAACAAAAAAGGAAATACCAGAATTAAATTCGACCTTGAAAAGCTGAAAGAAATACATAGGATTAGCAAGTGAAGCAGAGGAGGCTGCGTACCATGGAAACACAAGATAATTATTCAGTACAATCAAAAAGTTATCTGGAAAGTTCAACAATCCAGTGAGACCAGTTAAAACTAAAGATGGGAAATCAATACCTGATGAAGAGGGTCAGAAAAAAAGATGGATAGAACATTTTGAAGAACTCCTCAACCGGCCAGCACCACAACACACACTCAACATAGAGCCAGCGGAAAAAGATCTAGAAATAGAGTGCAGCACACCCACAAAGCAAGAAATATGCAGAGCAATTAAACAACTAAAGAAAGGCAAGGCGGCAGGTCCTGACAGAATACCGACAGAAGCCTTGACAGCAGATATTACGTCTAGCACTGAAATGCTACACACACTATTCAAGAAAATATGGGAGGAGGAACAGATACCGGCTGAATGGAAAGAAGGACACCTCGTTAAGCTCCCGAAGAAAGGAGACCTTAGTTCTTGTTCTAACTATAGGGGAATAACCCTGCTGTCGATCCCAAGCAAAGTATTCAACAGAATGCTGCTAAACAGAATGAGGGAGGCAATAGACATCAATCTTAGGGACCAACAAGCAGGGTTCAGAAAAGACAGATCCTGCACAGACCAGATTGCCACACTGAGAATTATTGTGGAACAATCTCTGGAGTGGAACTCGTCACTATACGTCAACTTCATTGACTATGAGAAGGCTTTTGACAGTGTCGACAGACAGACTCTGTGGAAGCTGCTTAGACACTACGGGGTACCACAAAAATTGACAGACATAATTAAGGCTTCTTACGAAGGACTATCCTGCAGAATTGTCCACGGCCAACAAACAACGGCGGCTTTTGAGGTACAGACCGGTGTCAGACAGGGGTGTCTGCTCTCGCCTTTCCTATTCCTGCTGACCATTGATTGGATAATGAAAATGTCTACAGAGCAGAAGAGAAATGGTATTCAGTGGACACTATGGAAACAACTTGATGACCTGGATTTTGCGGATGATCTGGCCCTAGTATCACACACACAGCAACAGATGCAAGAGAAAACCAATTATGTAGCACAGTACTCTGCTTGCATCGGCCTGAACATCCACAGAGGAAAAAGCAAAGTCCTTAAAATAAATACATCAAGCAACACACCTATAGCACTGGAAGGAACAAACCTTGAGGAGGTGGATAGCTTTACATACCTCGGCAGCATCATTGACATACAAGGAGGGACAGACGCCGACATAAGAGTGAGAGTTGGTAAGGCAAGAGCGGCATTTAACCAGCTAAAAAAGGTCTGGAGCTGCAGCAATTTGACCCTCCAGACCAAGGTCAAGGTATTCAACACCACAGTGAAACCTGTCTTGCTATATGGGGCAGAAACATGGCGAACAACAGCAGCTGGTTCAAAAAAGCTACAGACCTTTATCAACTCATGTCTCCGAACGATTTTACGAATCCGCTGGCCCACCGTCATCACCAACGAGGATCTCTGGCGGCGCACACAACAAGAACCAGTGGAAGAGTTAATCTGCCAGCGCAGATGGAGATGGATTGGCCACACCCTCAGAAAGCCTGCATCAAGTATCACGAGACAAGCCCTGACTTGGAACCCCCAGGGTAAGAGAAAAAGAGGTCGACCCAAAACAACTTGGAGAAGGGAACTGGAGGCAGACATCAAAAAGAGTGGGCACAACTGGGGACAGTTGGAGAGACTTGCCCAAGACCGGGATGCCTGGAGAGCCTTTGTTTGTGGCCTATGCCCCAGACGGGATGACAGGCGATGATGATGATGAAAAGCTGAAGGATCCTAGAGTAGCAGAAGCCTTCCAGGCAATAATAGGAGGAAAATTTGCAGCGCTTAACATCATAGATGCCGACTGTTCAGACATGGACACATTGATTGATAGCTTCAACACAGCTGTGACGGACACAGCTCACGACATCCTCGGTAAACATCGACCAACCCGAAAACCATGGGTGACAGCTGACATACTTGATCTGTGTGATAAACGGAGGCAGTTAAAGAAAACAAAAATGGTAAATACAGAGGGGGGCCATTAAATATAGGACAGTTAATCAAGCCATCAAAAAAGGTATGAAAAGGGCAAAGAAGAACTGGATTGAAGAGAAAAGCTACGACATTGAAAACTGCTTGAAGAAAAACAATAGAAAAAAAGCTTAACAGTTGGCGAAAGAACTAACCACTGCAAAACAAGGACGTAGTTCGACCATACAGGATAAAATTGGTAAATGTTTAACCGAAGAAAATGATATCATCAAACGATGGACTGAATACTGTTCAGAGCTGTATAATGTAAGTATAAAGATAGACCCAGAGATCCTTAATGTCCCTCCCTATTCTCCACGCAGAAGTAGAAGCAGCAGTCCAGGCACTCAAAACAGGAAAATCCGCAGGAGTAGATAATATCCCTGCCAAGTTGGTGAAACAAGGAGGAGAAGCAATGATAAATGCCCTATTCAATATTTGTAACAAAATATGGCTTACAGGAGAATGGCCCAAACCATGGACCCAATCGCTCATCATCACCCTCCCCAAAAAAGGTAACCTACAGCTATGCCAAAACTATCGCACCATTAGCCTAATAAGCCATCCAAGCAAGGTCATGCTGAAGATAATATTGAACCGACTAAAACCATATGCCGACAGAATCATTGCTGAAGAACAGGCGGGCTTCAGACAAGGACGGGGCACTACTGAGCAGATTCTAAACCTCCGAATACTATGTGAGAAATATGCTCAACACCAACAAAATCTACCACGTCTTTGTGGACTTCAAGAAAGCATTTGACAGGGTTTGGCATGCTGCTTTATGGGCCACCATGAGGCACTACAGCATCAACATAAACCTAACCAGCATGATATGCAACCTCTATGATAAGGCCACCAGTGCAGTCTTCCTCAACAACAACATCCGAGAATGGTTCAAGACCACGGTTGGAGTACGACTAGGCTGCCTGCTCTCCCCCACCCTATTCAACATCTTCCTAGAGAGAATTATGTCAGATGCTCTGGAACCGCATGAAGGGACAGTCATCATTGGTGGCAGAACAATCACCAACCTACACTTTGCGGATGACAGACGTGCTGGCTGGGAACAAAGAAGAGCTAGCCAACATGGTAAAGCGTCTCGATAAGACCTCGTCGTCCTACGGCATGCTAATCAGTGCCGAAAAGACAAAACTGATGACAAATAATATTGCAGGCATCACCACTGAAATTAAGGTCGGGGAGGAAAGATTAGAGACTGTCGGCCGCTTCAAATACCTAGGAGCAATAGTCTCAGAAGAAGGCTCCAAGCCCGAACTGATGTCCAGGATTGCGCAGACTACAACAGCACTAAAAAAGCTCAAGAAGATATGGAATGACAAAAATATAGCCCTCAGCACCAAAATCAGGCTGATGCGCTCATTAGTCCTCTCCATTTTCCTGTATGCCTGCAAATCCTGGACATTAACAGCCGATCTTGAAAGGAAAATAAAGGCGATGGAGATGAGATGCTTCAGAAGCATTTTTGGCACCTGCTATAGGGACCCTATCTCCAATGATACAGTGAAAGAAAGGGTGTGTCAGGCAATTGAGGAATACGATGACTTACTGGTGACTGTGAAAAAACGCAAATTACAATGGTACGGCCACGTAACAAGGAAACAAGGGTTTGCCAAAGAAATATTGCAGGGCACCACAAGAGGAGGGAGAAGAAGAGAAAGACAAAGGAAAAGGTGGGAGGATAACATCACAGAGTGGACAGGACTAACACTGGGCGATGCAGTGCGTAGTGCTGAAGACAGAGGAATGGAGGAGGATGGTTCACATGTCATCTGTGGCGCCCCAACGGTCCAAGGACTAAGGGACATGAGGAGAGGATGAAGAGATTAGTATCAATATCTCCATTTATTGACTAGATTCAATATGTTCATATTTTGACTAGTATCAATAGGTCTATATTTTGTCTAGTATCAACATGTCCATATATTGACTTGTACCAATATGTCCATATTTTGACTAGCATCAAGATGTCGATATTTTGACTAGTATCAACATGCCGATATTTTGACTAGCATCTTCATGTCCATATTTTTTCTAGCATCAAGATGTCCATAATTTGACTGGCATCAACATGTCCATATATTTTGACAGGTCTATAGATGCTGCTGTGAAAAAACTTTATACGACTGGATGCACTGCACTGGGACCAGCTTTATCAATATGCACAGGATTTCTGAGTAAAAGTCCTGGTTCTGAGATAATTGTGTGCACAGATGGTGAACCAAATGTAGGAGTTGGTTCACTCGGTCATAATCAAGGCAATACATTTTACAGAACAGTAAGATTTCTCTCTTCTTATTTTATTGAATAAAGGTGAATGTCAATTAGAAATAAAAATTAGAGGGTGAACTATTTTTATATATAATTTTCAATCTGTTTCCAATACAGTTCATCAAGTGCATACAATGCAATTCACATATACAGGAAAATATCCAGTATTCAACAATTGAATTTGATGGGGTGTAATACTAAAATTTCAACATTTTAACTTTGCATTTTTAACATAGTATTTAAAAATTGCATTTTAAGATAGTATTTTAATAAAGCATTTTAACATAGTATTTTAGATGCTGTTGCTCAAACTAAAACTCAAAAATAATATTTCCTCTACACAATTTCTATGATTAAGATGTCAAACTTTGCACACAAGAAATGCTAAGCCATTTATACAAATTAAATACTGTCTATACTGTGTCAATAACACTGTCTGTCAATAACACTGTCTGACAATAAAACTGTCTTTAAACAAAACTGTCAACTAAACTCTGATGGCAATAAAGGAGCTGCAACTATGGCTAAGCTGAATAAGCTGGGGTGGAATAATCTTAAACTATCTGAAAGTACACAACTCAGCAGCTTCCACCCTAAATGACTTAATTGCTTTTTGCGAGTTCAATGGCCGGGAAAAGTGCCAAACACAGAACTTTTGGAACATGCCAAAATGTGTAGCATGTTCTCCTTTCTTAACAAGATGTGCGTTTGCTGGTTAGGCCATATGAAGATAATCGAGGAAGGCTGTCTTCGAAAGGATCTGATGTATGGAGAGTTGACAGAATGGGCAAGACTTTTAGCATGGCCGCAGCTGCTGTTTAAGGACGTTTACAAAAGGAACATAAAGGGAGACAACATAGAAGTCAACAAATGGGAGATCATCACAATGGAAGCCAACAGAGAAGTCACCAAATGGGACACAAGGAACATGAAGGGAGAGAACAGAGAAGTCAACAAATGGGAGACCATCACTGAGCACCATTCCAGCTGATGAACTGCATGGCTTGACAGGCAGAAGGTGCGCCAAACAAAGCTCTTGAACAAAAAGAGGACTACAGAAAGCCAAATTAACCAGAAGTCAAGGCTCTCCTTCGAGGGGTGCAGCTAAGACTGCCATTCAAGGATTGGCCTTGCAAATCATTTGATGAAGATGCAAAGACAGGAGGCCATATAATTTTGGAACCCTCCTTCATCATCACATATTTGTCACAAAATTTGACACCCTCATACTCCATTGTCACTAATTCATGACCCCCTCACGCTCTAGACGAATGACATTTTTTTTAAATGGCCCCTTTTTCAAATAAATGAATTAATCAAAGTGCCATGTGCCAAACTCACTCTTCACTCAAAGCCTTCAAATAAATTTAAATAAATAACCAAGTTATAACCAACAATCTAATTGATTTTTATTATTCCAATGTTTTCTCAAAATAGTACATGCTTATTAGAATTTGAATCTGTACCCTTTCATATCGGCCTGATATTTCAATTTTAGAGTATGCCACCAAAGATGTTTGTTTTACGAAGACTTTGGTGTATGCACCATGTGTATAAAATAGATTTATCTTTATCATTATGGTTATCTGCAGGTTGGTGAGTATGCCAGATCCAAAGATATTACCATCAATATCTTAGCTATGGAGGGGGCCTCAGCGGGGCTCCAGCAAGTGAGTGCGGCGGCAGAGCTGTCAGGGGGAACAACTAACAAGCTCAACCCAATGGAGATTATCAGGCAACTCCGAATTATTGCACAGAATGAGGTCATAGCAACATCAGTTACTGTCAGGCTATTTCTGCACCCAGACTTCGTCTTTGATGAACCAGAGTATGGAAGTGTAAGTAAACTCTATATCCTAGGATATCTATGATATGAAGATATAAGTGAATTCTATTTCTATATCCATATGATAAACTAGGGTATGAAGATGTAAGTAAACTCTATTTTTATATCCATTTGATGAACAAGTATATAAAGATAATGTAAGTACCCTCTATTTCTAAATCCATTTGATGAACCAGAATATGGAAGTGTAAGTAAGGATAGAAAGCATTGTCCCACTATTCCTGCCAGACCCTGGTCAATGGTCTTCGCCGGTATGAGAAGAGTGAGTGACGGACCATCAGACCCTGGTCAATGGTCTTAGCCGGTATGAGAAGAGTGAGTGATGGACCATCAGACCCTGGTCAATGGTCTTAGCCGGTATGAGAAGAGTGAGTGACGGACCATCAGACCCTGGTCAATGGTCTTCGCCGGTATGAGAAGAGTGAGTGACGGACCATCAGACCCTGGTCAATGGTCTTAGCCAGTATGAGAAGAGAGTGAGTGACGGACCATGGACTAATTATGAGAGATGTTTTTGACAGACAACCTTTGAAAACAGTACTGATGGTGTTAGTCTTTATGCTTAACTAGTTGTGTCCCAATGCTTTAAAATAGATTTAAGGGATAGTTATATTTATACTTTACATCTACATATAAATATAATGCACAACTGCTTGTTTACTTAGTCACCATGAATTTTTTAAAAAATCTCACAGTATGGAGTACTAAAGAATGATTATACGATTGGCCGATTGGCTTGTTAATAAGATTAATTATAATTATCTCAACATTTGAAATAACACAAATTATCTCAAGCTTTGAATATCCCAACTTATATAGATTATTACAGAGTATTGAATATTCCAACATATCTATGTTCATTAATGGCTATTTGCTCTTAGAATCTGAGTCAACTGGAGAAAGAAGTGGGGACTGTTAGAAAAAGCACAGATCTCACATTCAGATTTAAGTTAAAAGATGCAAGCAAAGCTTCAACCCTGAACTCAGTTCCTTTCCAGGTCAGTTTAGCAAAAAAAAAAAAAATGAATGGTTAATGAAAAGAATGAATTTTATTTACAGCCGTGAGTTACGGACACAAGAAAAATGTTGTTTGTTAAGCTATTTTTTTAACAAGATGAAAGAAGTAGGGACTGATAGAAAAAGTACAGAGCTCACATTCAGATTTAAGTTAAAAGATGCAAGAAAAGCATCAACCCAGAACTCAGTTCCTTTCCAGGTCAGTTTAGCAAAAAAAAAAAAAATGAATGGTTAATGAAAAGAATGAATTTTATTTACAGCCGTGAGTTACGGACACAAGTAAAATGTTGTTTGTTAAGCTATTTTTTTAACAAGAAGAATTTAAGTTGTAAAATTGATACATTTCATGAAAAAAAAATTGATTAATATATATATATATATATATATAATTATTATTATGCTTCATGGTTTGAAAATGGCATATGTCAAAAACTAGAGTCATTAGGATCAAACTTATGTCCATCTGTGGAATCAGAAGGACAAATATATCTTCTTCTTCTTCTATATCTTAAGGGCCCACGATCAATTTATTGATCATTTTGTCTCCTATGCATGTAGATGGGATTTGCAATGTTTCTGTTACGGGTGGTGATGAGGAACTCATGCACTAGGGGTTTGAAGGCTTGAGGAAATAGACACAAATGTGTCTAGTGTTGTCGCCTCAACTGTTCCGTTTGAAAGATTGTTCCAGTCCCTGATTGTCTTGGGCAGGAATGAGCAGCTCCTATACTGGCTTCTTGCTGGTATGAGCCTGAATTGCCTGTCATGGCCTCGTCGCTGTCTATGAGGGAGAGGGACGAGTTTCTGTTTAATACTGGAACAGTGGACCAGCCCATTATTTATCTTGTACATAATGGAGAGCCTGGATTGTCGTCGTCGTTTCTCCAATGGTGACCAGCCTAGTGTTTCTAGCATGCTGGCAACACTAGATGTATTCCTGTAGCGGTTTAGGACAAAGTGTGCTGCTTGTCGCTGGACCGCCTCCAACCTGTCAATGCTCTTCTGGGTAAATGGTCCCAGACTGAAGATGCATAATCTAAAATATCTCGTAACAAGACTGGTGTAACATCTGAGGCATCCAATTTTGTGCGGGGCAGTGTAATCAATACAGATCTTATGCCTCATCTAGACCAGGCCATCAACCCTTTATTTATTTGTTTACCCAAAGTTAACCCCCCCCCCCCGCCCGCAACCAATTTAAAGGAAAGAAAATCACCGACTTTAAATGGTTTATTGAATCAATTATGATGGGAATACAATTATAAATATTAAAGGACAAACTAAATTCGATCAAATAAATTAATAAAATCCTAGTTTTGGAACAAACAAATTCCTTTGAAAAAATGTTCATTTAAAATTTTGTAGTGATGATGTTTCATTTTGATACAATGACACCACAACGGCATGAGAATGACATCACAATAACTTCATGATAACACCACTGTGCCAAGCCACCAGAAACCACAATATGTTGGTTGCATTTCTAAACTACACTGGCCAGATGACAGCTGCCAAGCCACCAGTTACCCCTGGCCAGATGACAGCTACCAAGTCACCAGTAACAACTGGCCAGATGACAGCTGCCAAACCACCAGTAACCACTGGCCAGATGACAGCTGCCAAACCACCAGTAACCACTGGCCAGATGACAGCTGCCAAGTCACCAGTAACCACTGGCCAGATGACAGCTGCCAAGTCACCAGTAACCACTGGCCAGATGACAGCTGCCAAGTCACCAGTAACCACATTATTTTTTTTGCATTTCTAAACTACACTGTCCAGATGACAGCTGCCAAGCCACTAGTAACCACAGTATGTTGGTTGCATTTCTAAACTACACTGGCCAGATGCTGTGTTGGCAGAAGAAGAAAAGTTCTCACCAAAACCACTCTTTAAATTTATTTTTTAAATGTCTGTTGAGCTCTCATTACCCCCAAGATTACCATTTTACCCCATGAGGGCTAATTTACCCCATTTTAATGACCACTCATCAAGACAGTATAATATTTTTGCAATAACATATATCTTTAAAAATAAATTGCTAGTAAAATTAAACAAATGTTTCTTTTCAAGTTTACAACTAGTACACTATTGAAGAATTTGAAGTGAAATGTCTTCATGTTCAAAATGGTGATGTTTCCTTGCCACCTAAATAAAAAAATACAAATAATCAATTTCCTTATTTCTCTGCACAATAACATTTTCCTTGTTCACCTTTTGAACTAGGTTCACATCAACTACACACGGAAAGATGGTATGAAGTGTTTAAGAGTTTTAAGCCAAGCAAATGAAACAACCAGAGACAGAAAGGCAATGGAAGAGGTATGCAATCTGATGGGTTTTTTTTTATGAAACTAAATATCATTCAAACTCAAAGCAAATCTCATTCAGACTCATTCCATTGCATATAATGATTATAAAGATCAAAGATTCACTAGGATTAAACAAACAGCTAAATACATTTGATAATGTAAATCATTTGACCAGACTTGAGAATTAGAGCACATTTTTTTAAAAGCCCTTACTCCCATTGTTTTACATTTGTTGATAGAAAGGAACCAAATTTATAGAGTGATCTTGCTCGTGAAGTTTTTACTTTCTTCGTTGCGGTTTAAGATTCTAATATTTTTGCAAGTAGATCCACCGTAGAGGATGTACACAGTTTAAAAATCATGCTGTAATAGACTCAGTGAGCCTAAAGCAGGATGCTGTAATAGACTCAGTGAGCCTAAAGCAGGATGCTGTAATAGACTCAGTGAGCCTAAAGCAGGATGCTGTAATAGACTCAGTGAGCCTAAAGCAGGATGCTGAAATAGACTCAGTGAGCCTAAAGCAGGATGCTGAAATAGACTCAGTGAGCCTAAAGCAGGATAATAGACTCAGTGAGCCTAAAGCAGGATGCTGTAATAGACTCAGTGAGCCTAAAGCAGGATGCTGAAATAGACTCAGTGAGCCTAAAGCAGGATGCTGAAATAGACTCAGTGAGCCTAAAGCAGGATGCTGAAATAGACTCAGTGAGCCTAAAGCAGGATGCTGTAGTAGACTCAGTGAGCCTAAAGCAGGATGCTGTAATAGACTCAGTGAGCCTAAAGCAGGATGCTGAAATAGACTCAGTGAGCCTAAACCAGGATGCTGTATTAGACTCAGTGAGGGATGCTGTAATAGACTCAGTGAGGGATGCTGAAATAGACTCAGTGAGCCTAAAGCTGAATTCTGAAATACACTGCAGGATAACTAATATGTCTTCATTGTCTAAGGTTTACTAAAAATGACTTAATGTCTAATATGTCTATATTGTCTAAGGTTTACTAAAAATGACTTAATGTCTAATATGTCTATATCGTCTAGGGTTTACTACAAAGACTTACTGGTTATTTGCCATTGTTAAATAGAAAAGAAAAATAGAAATATATTCTGATATTATTGCGGATCATGATATTAAATGAGTACTAGTTGTCTCTTTCTTTGTTTGTATAATTGATGGCTGCCTTATTTTCAAAGTGTTCATTGTGTTGTGGATTGTACCAAAGCAGTAACTGGTTACCATGACAACTATTGCATTTGTTATTAACTTAATGCTTGAGTCACCTCATCCTAAAATTTAAGAATGTAAAGTTTTTGAAAAAAACTTTATACAATTTGAAATAATTTTGTTATGTCTGTTCTAGAACATCAATATCTCGGTGTTGGGTGTTGCCACTATGAAGACCACAGCCAAACTGGCCCAAGCTGGAGAGAAGAAAAAAGCACAGCACCATTTGTGAGTTGTTTCAGAATTGATTATGATAGACAGCATGACAGGAAATGAGTTATAGAATAGATCAGCAGTTCTCAACCTGTGAGTCGTGACCCCTTTGGGGGTAGCGAGACCCTTTTCCAGGGGTCGCCTAAGACCATCTGAAAACACAAACCCTTACAGCTATGAAGTAGCAACACAAATAATTGTGTGGCTGGGGGGCCACCACTGACACGAATAACTGTATAAAGGGTTGCGGCATTAGGAAGGTTGAGAACCACTGAAATAAATATTCATTTCATTACCATGGGTTACTTCAAAACAACATCAAATGATTACCCGGTATGTAATTAAACATATTCAAAAGAAGAAAACCAATGAAGAATGTCTACTGAACAGATTTTTTTTTTAAATTGAAAACTGTCTACAGAAGACAGTTTTCAAAAATTGAAGAATGTCTACTGAACAGATTTAAGGCATTATTTTAGTTCATGTTAATAATGAGAGACTAGTTGGAATAGCTTGCAGGTCATTTGTTTAAGATCGTTTTTCTTCAGTTTGGTGACAGTTCACCAGTTTGGTGACAATTCACCAGGTTGGTGACAATTCACCAGTATGGTGACAATTCACCAGTTTGGTGACAATTCACAAAAATTCAATTAGCTTTAAATAATTAAAACTTTTTATGTCTTGCAAATCATAAAATAGTTTTCAATGGTCTTTAATTGATGGGTGACTGAATGGGTCAATAACATTGTTAGGATGGGAAATATATTACACAGATCAGCATCACATTTTTTAACAACTCTATAAATATGACAACCCACACAACCATAACGCTCTTTACCATATAATGACAACCCACACAACCACAACCCTCTTTACCATATAATGACAACCCACACAACCAAAACCCTCTTTACCATATAATGACAACCCACACAACCACAACCCTCTTTACCATATAATGACAACCCACACAACCACAACCCTCTTTACCATATAATGACAACCCACACAACCACAAACCTCTTTACCATATAATGACAACCCACACAACCACAACCCTATTTACCATATAACCACTACTTACAAAAAACACTTCCCAAGTAGTGTATATACTCGTTCAAAAAAAAAAGTTCATTCATAAGCCATTAGATATGGCGGAGGGGGGGGGGGGTTCTTACCACTGCCCACTTAAAAACTACCCACACAAAAACGAGCCCCACTAGCACACAACCACTATCTACACAACCACTGCCAGCTCAGCCACTAAACACTGGACAACTGCCCACACAACCCTTACCCCAGTGGACTTACCAACATTACCAAGAGGCATATCGCTGTGGTTCTTCCACTGCCATAACAAACTTAATATACAATTGTTATCCAACTCTATCTAGGAAAAATGTGGAGCGCCTGATGACCAGAGGGGCAGTAACGAGGAGCCTGGAAGAGGAAAAGTTGGCATTCCAGTTTGAAACCAGAGCCTATGACAGTTACCTTGGTGAAGAATCCGATGTAAGTACGCTCCTGTATGAGTTAAGTCAGTGCCTGTGAGGTCAGTTAAATTCCGTTAAGGGTCATTTAAGGTCTGTTTGAGAATAGTCAGGTCCAGTGAGGTATCATGATATGGCGATTCACAGTTCTGACTTAGTTGCCATGATGTAGTAATGTTTCGGGTTGTTGATGCTGTCTTGATGTTTCAGAGGGACTGTGGTGGTAGTGAGTGGTCAACCATCATGCAGCAGCGAGCCATGGGAGTGGATGCATCCAAGTTTTCCTCAAATTCCAGGAAGATGATGGAACATGTCAAACCTCTGAGTGCAAGACAGAAGCTTGCTTACTACAGTTACAAAGACAATTTTTAAATTTCCGACAAGACTAGGAAAAGAAGTTTCTTTTTTAAGGCACGCTGGGAGTACAATGTCTTATCTCGGTACGGTGTACATCGGTACAATGTTTATATGGGTACAGGTTTGTCAATGTACAGTGTCTTATCTAGGTACGTCATATCTAGGTACAGTGTATATAAACAAGTTCTTTTAAAGTACAATGTCCACCTATGTACACTTTATATAATGGTACAAGTCTATTATGTTGTCAGTAGTGAAGGCGAATCTATGTATACTTTATATAATATTACAAGTCTATTGTGTTGTCAATAGTGAAGGTAAATCTATGAACACTTAATATAATAGAGAAGTTTGGTAAGTTGATGTCAAGGTTGTTGTCCAATATTTTATGGTACACTGAATAAGGGCCCAAATTATTTCAAATTTGTCAGTGTTACCACTTAAATTTTATAACTTGAGACCTTCATCAAATGTCAGGGCCTTCTTGCGTTGTCTCCAGTTACGACCCACTGAATACTTTAAATGTTACATCTTTGTTTATCTTATGATTGACTACTTCTACCTTATCTGGGGTGCATGAATCTCTCTCTCACATAAAGCACAAGGTCCAGTGTAACAATATAATAATTTATTGCATACTTTACAAAACAGGATGCTGCTATTCAATATAGGGCCTACTATGGCGCATGGAACACACATCAGTCTAACTACCAACCATGCACTCTCCTAGCACTATTCTCTCGAATAACGTGTAGCTCGCTCCTATCGCTACTCGACTATTGACCACTAACAATTCTTCTCTGACCTCTAGCTAACACACATCCCTTTTATAATACTACCCAAACAACTCAGTCTACGCTAACGTTTCTACGTTCCACACCACGGACTAACTTCACGCTCTGACGTCACGATCAACAACTCACAAAACACTCTCACGATTCACGACTCCCCCTACCCAACATTCACAACAATCTAGTTCACAACAGTCCGAGACCTTTGACCTTGGTCATGCATTGTGATGTCTGTGATGAAATGTATTGAGGCAGATTTTAATATTAAATCATTTCTAAACACAACTTATGAGTTTTTGTTATCATGTTTTTTGTGTCGGTTAAAAACGATAAATAGTATTATAATCTAACAGTTAAATGTAGGCTTTATTAATAACTTCCAATCACTAACTAGATAATATTTGTAAAATAAAACCTAACTGGTTGTTGATTTCCACAACTGGATGCTGAACTTTTTAAAATATAAAAACGAATAAATGAAATGAAATTTAAAAAAAAATGGTAAATGCATTATTATTATATAAAATAAAAATGATTTATTTAATGCCAAAAATAAGTTATACAAATGGCAAATGGCCTAGTTTACTAGTTATCGCAAGCCCAAGCCTTACGTTCGATAGATAAGAAAAGTTTCATAATTAGCCCACCCCCAGGCCCCAGGCCCCAGGCCTGTACCTTTTGCCTCAGTAGCTACGTTTTTAAGCGTATCCGGAAATTTGATCGAAAGAAATTTCGTCGACGGTAATTTGATCGAACGGAAATATGGTCGAATCTTTTTTACGTTTTTACGTTTAAATTTTGCTTCAAATGTCTTTTTGAACGCATTATTTTGTTTTACTATATAGCATAGTGCGTTCAAAAAGAAATTTGACGAAAATTTTAACGTGTGAACTGAAAAAAAGATTCGACCAAATTTCCTGTCGATCAAATTACCGTCGATCAATTTACCGTCGACGAAATTTCTTTCGATCAAATTTCCGGTAACCGTTTTTAAGCCTAAGACCACGGCTCTACGATGAGCTTTAGAGTTTTTCGGGAGTTTTTTTGCGTTTGTATGGTTTATTATTTTGAAAATGGGGTGTTTTCTTAGATGGGGTGTTTTCTTAGATGGGCTGTTTTCTTAGATGGGCTGTTTTCTTAGATGGGCTGTTTTCTTAGATTGGGGTGTTTTCTTAGATGGGGTGTTTTCTTAGATGGGGTGTTTTCTTAGATGGGGTGTTTTCTTAGATGGGGTGTTTTCTTAGATGGGGTGTTTTCTTAGATGGGGTGTTTTCTTAGAGTAAAAATTTACCGCATTTTTTTTTTGTGTAAACACCGTAGGCAATCGAATAAGAGTGATTGGACTTGGCGGTCTCGATCACAATGAGGCAACCTGAATGTTGACTTTTAGAGGGTGCATTAATTCATCATGAAAACTGGCAATGTGTTGTCTAACTTGATTGCAGTCACTCCCCCTTATTACCTGAGTTTATTTTTGAGCCCCACTGTTGCTTGTCCAATGGATTTGGCTTTAGTGCCCCCCCCCCACCACTCTGTTTGCGTCTGCGCTTTCCAAGGTCCGGATATTTTCCTTTTTTTTTTTTAAAATGGAAATTTCGTAGTGTTCTGCCTTTGAAGATTTTTTTCCCCACTGTTGCTTGTCCAATGGATTTGGCTTTAGTGCCCCCCCCCCACCACTCTGTTTGCGTCTGCGCTTTCCAAGGTCCGGATATTTTCCTTTTTTTTTTTTTAAAATGGAAATTTCGTAGTGTTCTGCCTTTGAAGATTTTTTTTCTTCTTTTCAGTTCATCTTCATCAACATATTTAAGGTCAAGGGGGTCATCCGCGTATGTACGCACTGAGGGGTAGAAGTGGGTTTGTCAATGTTTGTACGCATGCGTATGGGGGTCATGGCAGAAAGTACACACATTTATTTAAAAATTCTACAAAAATTATCTTGAAATTTAGACAGTCCAAAATTACAGTCTTTATATCTGGAATGCTGTAAAATTATCCTGCTATGTTTTCTAGGAATTGTCGTCATGATCTTGCCCTGTGTTTTCGCAAATGAAGTACTCGCAGTCCTCAATGGTAGCAGTATTGCGGTAATATTTAGTCCACTGTATATTCAACGTGCGTTTGACGTCTCACCCCCCACCCCACTTTTTTTTCCCCAGCTACGCCAGTGGTTCCTCAATATTTTAATTCCCCGTCATTATATTGGAGCACTTTGATTGTTGGAGTGACGGCACAATAAATCCATTGGAAAGTTTAACGACATGCTTTTCTTAACAGTTTGTTTCAGGAAGAGTTTCTTTCTTTCTCCATAAAACTCTGCCCCAGAGAGAACATTGGGTATCAAGTTTTTGTTCCGAAAGACACAGGAATGTCGAGAAAAGCAACCACAAATACATTGAAATATAAATCAGCCATTAAACTGTCCAAAATCCACCAGCCATTAAACTGTCCAACATCCACCAGCCATTAAACTGTCCAACATCCACCAGCCGTTAAACTGTCCAACATCCACCAGCCATTGAACTGCCTAACATCCACCAGCCGTTAAACTGTCCAACATCCACCAGCCATTGAACTGCCTAACATCCACCAGCCATTAAACTGTCCAACATCCACCAGCCATTAAACTGTCCAACATCCACCAGCCATTAAACTGTCCAACATCCAACAGCCTTTAAACTGTCCAACATCCAACAGCCACTGAAATGTCCCTAGCTTTGCTCTTTCCATCCCCCCACACGAAATTATTTTATTCAACGTTAATATTTTCTATTGTACCCAGAGCCTTGGTCTGAGCCGTGCGCCTGCAGGGGACCTTGGGGAGTTAATGCACCCAAAATTGATATGTGGAATTTAAAAAAAATGTAATGTCCTTTTCGAATGCAAGAGACACACTCGAAAGGGGCCGCCAAAAGTCATGTGACTTTTTCTGACTGTGCCACTTAATTAAAATCATGTTTAGCCACTAGCTTGAACGGACCATGAACATAATCTCGTTGACAGATGTAATGAACATAATCTCGTTGACAGATGTAATGAACATAATCTTGTAGAGAGATGTAATGAACATAATCCCTTGAACAGATGTAATGAACATAATCCTTGGTCATATGCAATTGAACATAATTTCGTAGAGAGAAGCAATGAACATAATCTCGTAGAGAGATGTAATGAACATAATCTCTTGGACAGATGTAATGAACATAATCTCTTGGACATATGTAATGAACATAATCTCTTGGACAGATGTAATGAACATAATCTCTTGGACAGATGTAATGAACATAATCTCTTGGACAGATGTAATGAATAGAATCTCTTGGACATATGTAATGAACAGAATCTCTTGGACAGATGTAATGAACAGAATCTCTTGGACAGATGTAATGAACAGAATCTCTTGGACAGATGTAATGAACAGAATCTCTTGGACAGATGTAATGAACAGAATCTCTTGGACAGATGTAATGAACATAATCTCTTGGACAGATGTAATGAACATAATCTCTTGGACAGATGTAATGAACAGAATCTCTTGGACAGATGTAATGAACAGAATCTCTTGGACAGATGTAATGAAAAGAATCTCTTGGACAGATGTAATGAACAGAATCTCTTGGACAGATGTAATGAACTTAATCTCTTGGACAGATGTAATGAACAGAATGCCCGTGACAGAGGCAATGACCATTATCTCGTGGAGAGATGCAATGACTCAATCAGTTTAGATACTTAGATATTACAATGGAGGACTTTGCTAGTAGATTAATAACAGTCAAGAGAAAGTAAATTTTTGAAATAAAAAAAAAACTTTATTTAAAAAATAATTTATTGACATCATGCTAGAATAGTTATCCGCCTTTTACATGAAAAGATTGATATCTGCACTTTGCACATACATGAAATGATTTATATGGATCAAAACTAAACCAATTACTTATACCATCTCTTTGATTTAAGTATTAAGGAATAAATCGCTCACACAAATCTCTTCTATACAATAATACATTTTGCGACTAATCTTTCATACCAGTCTAGCTTATATATTCATGCAAGTCTACTTTATATGTTCATACAAGTCTACTTTATATGTTCATACAAGTCGACTTTATATGTTCAACAACAAACAAATGGACTTATTCTTGATATCTAAACTTTCTAACGAAATCTCCCTTGGCCTTGGGAGATCTGATCTCCAGGGTAGGACTCCCGTTACTGCTACCATTACGGACGGTAATTCTGTGGTTGCCCACGGTGCCTGTTTGTCCACTGATGCCATTCTTACCGTTAAATGTGCGCACACCATCGGGTGAAAATCTGTTAAAGTCTCTGACGGCATCATTGTAGTTACCGGGTCTGTGAAAGCAAGGACTACATGTTAAACTTGAGTAAACTGTTTTAAGAATGTTCACATTTATAAATACATCACTTTTTTTGTTAACATGTGTATTAATGTGAATAAATTATTTTTGTGAGTGTAATATATAAATATACATATATATATATATATATATATATTTAAGTGTGTACCAGACACTCACCAAGTGTGTATGTGCATATGTGTATAAGTGGGTGCTCTGTGCATTGAGGAAACAATCTCAAATGTGAATAATAAAGACACTACGCACAAACATCATACGTCTGCTTAGATTTACCATTAAAAAAATTAAAATGTTATTCGATTTTCACCTTGCATACTGTTTCGTAACACGAGAACCACTGGTTGTCACGCGGCCAGCACGTGACGCCTTGAACAGTGCACGAGCCGCCTGGGCCAGTCGGATGGCAATGGGAACCCATCGCTTCTTTCGTCCCTCGGGCTTTCTGATTGGCTCCTGGCGACCTTTGACGACCTTCTTGGTCACTAACAAATCTGCAATGTTAACACAACGGTTCCACTTCAACCCATCAGTGATAACAACTGGACATTTCATTTAGAGACAGCATGCATGTGCTGAATATTTCTTTGCTCATTTAGTGAAATAAATCATATACTTATTGTCTTGTAAGCTCAAGGTTCATGAGCTTTTTGTCATTGCCCATAGAAGAAAGGCATTGTCATGGTCTATAGATTTATGTCAATTTCATGGTCCATAGATTAAAGGCATTGTCATGGTCCATAGATTAAAGCCATTGTCATGGTCCATAGATTATACGTTTTGTCTGTTTACCATTAAAGTCATACCATGAGACACCAAGTTGAGCTATCCCTTGTTATCAGACACTCACGAAGCTACCAGACATTCACCAAGCTATCAGACACTCACCAGGTTATCAGACACTCACCAAGTTGAGCTATCCCCTTGTTATCAGACAATCACCAAGCTATCAGACACTCAACAAGCTATCAGACATTCACCAAGCTATCAAGACACTCACCAAGTTGAGCTATCCCCTTGTTATCAGACACTC